AAAAAAAAAAAAAAAAAAAAAAAAAAAAAAAAAACTGCTGTCGATGTATTCAACTGTAGTCGAACACCAGTTGAATGTCAATTTTTATGGTGACATATCGAACACACAAGAAAATTTTAATTTTGAACAACGGAACAGTAAAATGAAAATTTTAATGTTTTTTGTCAGTTTGACAAATCTGTTGCTCTTTTTTTTTTCTTGTCACTTCTATACTCATTTTTACAGTTTTATGTTTAGCTTTCAAAACAGAAAAAAAAAGCAAAATTTTTTTTTTATGAAATATTTTTGACTCAATTTTTGCATAAATTTCTTTATTCTCAAATTTTCACCAGTTGAGAAAAGAAAAAGAAATTATTACAGCATTAGCGACGAGCGGATCAGGACTGTTGCTTCTGAGAGCTCTATAGGTTATGCTCGACAAACGGTAGAAGAAGAAGAACAAGAGGCATTCTTAAACAGTCGTGTAGGTTGATAGCTAGAAAAAGATTGAAGTGACTCTTTTTGTGAGGTACTTACCGTTAGCCTTAACCGGAAAAACAATCGTTGTACTTAGTCTTCCTCCAAGCTAAATTTTATCTATTTACTTCAAAAACTCAAATAAATGAATGAATGAATAGATGAATAAGTAAATGAATAAACGAGTGAATAAATAAATAAATGAATGAATAAGTGAATAGATAGATAAATGAATGAATAGATGAATGAATAAATAAATAAATGAATAAATGAATGAATGATTTAGATTACAAATTAATTTCGAATACCTTTTTTACTAGTGGGGAATTTAAAGATTTACTTTTCTTGTGCATTGCCTATGTGTCGGTGGCTACTGAAAAGGAACGGCATTCCTCTTTAAATTTTCACTCTTTTTTTTTATTATTAGAAAAACCGTCAATTTTTTGACGGCTTCCGGCAGGAAGTAGCTTTTGATGTGATACAAGTGGTAATGCTGGACTCCGATAGTTTCGTAAACAAATATCCTCCAAAATGCAATATCAGTTTTGGAGCGCTGCAAAAACTTGACTTTTTTACTGTATTTTTCAGACAATCTTCTGACGATATCTTGCATATGGTAGCACGGGTCGTTGGCTTGCTACCTGAAAAATACGTTTTGAATATTTATGAGTTTAATCCGGTTGTCCTAGATCTTAAAACTTTCATTGAATTTCGTGGCGTTGTGTTGATGCGAAAACTGAAAGAGTTTCAGAAGAAGACACGTGTCAGGTAAGAAGAAAATTGAATAATATTCTGTTGTGCTTTTGAGACCGGGATTCGTTGGATGTAGTCACTTCATTGCTTTTACAGAAATAAACAGTTTCCTTTAGGCTTATCAAAAACTTCTTCGAATTTATTCGTCACCTACTGGAGGCAAGAAGGGAGATGAAATTTCATAGAGGACGGTTTAGCAAAAAAACTGTTTCGCTGACGTAAAACACGTATTTGGGGATAATTTGCCATTCAGTACTCGATCTAGTCTAATGCAGGTAATATTTCAAGATTGAATAACTTCTAAATTGGTCGATGAAGAAACCTTTTCCTAATAATTTTTTTAGCAAAGCGTTCTTTTGGAAAGCGAATATCAAAAGAAACGAAGTTGTTGGAAATGCTGTGAGGAAAACCAATACTGCGTTGCACTTCAGAGTAAACATTTCTTTTGCAAGTTGTGTTGGGCAACATACATCAAAAATTGTTTGTACAGGGGTCATCTTCCATTTAAGTGTATGGTAGGTTTGTACCATTGTGGTTAACTAAAAGTAAATTATGTGTTTCTGTAAGAATCACATTCTCGGACCGCCTAATCGCTAAGTCTTTGCTGCTTGATTTTCTTCTCGCATCTAAAGTGACATCTGTTTAATAGCCTTGACAGCAGAAGAAACAATTTGGAGCATTAAGAAGGAGAGTATTCGTAGCTAAATTCTAGGTTTATGATTGTAAAGTGGTAATGAGCAAAGATCAGATGCTGGCTCTGCTTCCTGTAGAATGCTGTTACCGCCGTTTACAATTAACTCAGCAGAAATTTTTGACCGAGAAACTGGGTAAAGGACATCAATCGTTCGAGTGTGAAGCGTGTAGATGCGTTAACGTAATCTGAGGTGAAGAAGTAGAAAACAGGCTGGCACAGTGTATCTGTGGTTACACTGTTTGCTTGAAATGTCTGCAAAAAGCACATCTGCTTCTGAGCTGCGATGATGCTAGAAGGTATCTGGAAGTCCGCACAGGTAGTGTCTTGTTTCTGGAGACGTATATCTGTTGCTTGCGGAAAGTTGTTTTGATAATTGTTGGTGCGTTGCAAATTTCTTCGTTGAAGGAATATGGCATTAGTTGACTGGTAGTCAGGTAACAAAGCTTTTTTTCTGCAACTTTATTTTTTGTTGTTTCAGAGAATCTGGAAAGCTTCAAAGAAGCTACGGTTCTTAACGGTCGTAGGTGTCCGCATTGTCAGGAATACTGCCAGCGGTTAGATGGATGTGATCATATGACATGCGCATGCGGTAAAAAATTTCGATTTAGGTGCTACCAGAATTATGGCAGTTCTTTCTTACATTACAAATGCAAAATACTGAAATTGGAAATTATTCCGACACAACTTGACTTCATTAAGCCTGTTCGTGTGATCGCAAAATCTGTTTGGAGCATTCGTGAATAACTGTTTAGTAGATGTATTTAGTCGATTTTGGTGCAAGCTGCGTGTTTTATAAGCATCTCAAACTTACTTTTTTAGAAGAGTTGGGAGCTTTACATGCCTCTGTTGTAGGAGATGGAACTTACTGATGTTCCGACGAAAGGTATTTATGTCCAAAAAACAGAAATTGCCTTTACTCCCGCCGACAGAAGAACTCACTGTACTCTCATCGTTTAAGGTGTTCTCTTAGAAAGCGTTTATTAGACGACAACCGGAAACGACTTGCTTAGTTTATTATTTACTGGGTAGCTTTCTGTAATTCTGAGAGTGCAAGGTGGAACAAATTTAAAATTAAGGTTAAAAAGCCATGTTTCTTAAGAAAGTCTTTGCAAGGGAAAAGTTTTGTGCATTTTCTCATTACTAAGCATCTTTTCCAAGTTAACGACTTGACATATGTTTCCTTCGCTATTTTTCGGTAGTTTTCTTTATATGTTTTGACATGGAATTGCTTCAGTTCGCACTGACATGTATTAGGTACTTCTCTGCGCTGCAGACAAGAACAACCAGCCAAAAAAGAAGTTTGGAGCTTGAGCATTTTGGACAATGCTAAATAGATCTGCATTATTATTTGAGCTAGAGGGAACTCTTTTTGCTCTGCGTCTCACTCCTCGCTTCTGAAGTGTCACAGGAAGTTTTTTTGGAAAACAAAAATTCCTCCCTCTTGTTAGGTAAAGCTACAAACGTAGCCCTAAAAGAAAATTTTATTATATTTTAAAGTCAGTATGATGTATGGCAGTTATCATATTTAGGCAGGTACTTGTACAAGCTCGGAAGATGAGGTTGTTAGAGAAGTGGGAGCAAGAAAAAAACGGAGGGAATTGAGACAACGTGTAGAAAAAAAACTTATGAAAATTAAAAATTGGTTTTTTTTCTTACATATTCTAATCTTAGTTTGCTAGCATTTTTAATGAAGTTTACTAGTTAATTGGTGAGGATGGTAATCCGTTTGAAGTGTTTTTGAAGTGGCTTTGGGAAGACCATTGCACTGTTTACTGAAAAACTAAAAAAGAAGCATTTCAGTACAAATCACTCCTGGGTACTGAGATTGAATTCAAGTTTGATACGGGTCAGGAGCACATATCAAACTGAAACAGTGATGGCCGCTCGACATAATCGCTGAATCTTTCTAAAGAGTTGTCTTTCCATAAAGAACCATATTGAAGATAATATTGTTTGCACACCTATTTTTTGCCTGCTGGATTTTCTCACTGTGTTAGCTTATCCTGATAGCATAAAGCAAATATAGATTTATCTTGTTATCATCGAGAGACAGACTTGGTGGAAACAGAGGGTAAAATGATACGTACAGAATTGTTAAAGCTAAGGATTTCTGAGCTTGAAATTTAAAATAGGCGTTGATAAAAAAGAGCAACCACTTAATTGCTTCTCTCATTTCCTTCAGAACCCCGAATCCCGCATGAAAAGTCAGCTATTTAGCTCTAACTCAGTACAGCAGACCGTATAAAGCGGTTTATCTTCTCACCTTCTGTCAGATTAGAATATTATTGGGATATAAATGAAGTATAAACTTGCTTCTAGATTTTGATCACTGATGAATTTGATGTTTGGTTTTCTTTCAGCAGCACTGTAGTAAACTGAGCTAACTTCTCACTGTGGCAATATTTCTGTCAAATTTTTATACAGTTTAATCGTGCTGTTAACAGCAGACATTAATCAAATTAAAATTTGTTAATAGTATACTGCTAAATGCTGAGATATAGCTTCAGTTTTTAAATTCTTGTGTGATACGCTAAGTGATATGATTGTATATTAAAAAACTGTAGCTTGATTATGATGCTTGATGATCTTTCTTTGTACTGTTCAAGGGGTGCCAAGAAATAAAAAGTATTTCTTTTTTGGTTGCATTTAACAACGAAGACTTTGAGGGAATTTAGGCGCAGTTTGAAGAGGGAACGTTACCGTTTGATCTTCTGCAGATGTTCATAACTTTTTCTACATATTGGAACTTCAGACTGACATCGTGGCGGCTCTGATATTTTTCTAGTTGATGACTGATAAGTGTTCAAGATATAACTTCAGTTTTTAAGTTCTTGTGTGGTACGCCAAGTGGCACGATTGTATATTAAAAAACTGTAGCATGCTTGTAATGCTTGGTGATCGTTCTTTGTACTGAAACAAAAATTCTTAAAGTAGGTAATTGCTTTTGTAAAGCAGTTTTTGCAAACTTTTTGGTTGTTTATGCTTTATTCGGAGAAACTTTTTTCCTCTGCAATAGGGTGAAAATAGTTTTAAAATAAATTTTATAACAATATTCTAGGTCGAGGCAATAGATTATAGTTATCGCTGTTTATCTGCTCTTGATTGGAAACAGATGATGCCATCTTAACCTAATAAACTTACTTGATTAAAAGTTTTAGGTAAAGTTCATATTTTTCAGTGAAAAGTAGTAAAAGAAACTAAAGTATTTCAAGAGTTTCCTGCGTGAATGCTGTTTAAAGAAAGTTTTCTGAAGGCTCTAGAAAGAATTTACTTGGACTGATTTGGCCATTCTAGTCTTTTGTTGTGGTTTTTTGTCTGTGGTTAAGCAAACAAGGCATTTGTCATTTTTCACGGAAATGCTTCTGATATTTTCCTTCTGTGATGTGACAATCGTATTAGACAGCGTCAAAAAGCTTAGAGATTAAAAAAAATTACAGATTTTCAACTACCTCAACTTTCTTTTTCTTCTGAACATTCGGGGAACAGCAAGTGACTGTGTACTTTGTAAATGATGTTGAGAGCTATACGGAAACAGCAGCTGCTTGCTATGGTAAGGAAAAATCTTAATTTTTTTCATTGTGAAGCAATAGTGCTTGTAAGTCGTCTTCGACTGAATAAGTCAGTCTGAAAAAACTTTCAAGTAAAAAATTACTAGTAATTTGATTTTGAACTTTTGTGAGGTTTAAGTGATAATTGAAATGTCTGAACGAATTGAATTTCCTAAATGAGATTTTTTTTTTAAATTTGCCAACACTATAAAATTACTTAAGTTTGGAGTTACGGAAGGTGACAAGGTTTGATGAATAAGTTTTTAATTAATAGATGAAATACCAAATAGTATTGACAGCTTCAAAGTCACCTCGCTTGCTCATCTAGTCACTGAACAAGAAACTAGATTCCTTATCTTAAAAGGTTTAGTTTTAACCATTATAAAAAAAAATAATTTTTTTACTAGTTAGTAGTGTAGAGCAGGTTAACATAGAGATAACGATTATCGCTAAAAATACATTAATATAGAAGATACTTTTAAGCTTATATAAAATATATTTTCTAGACAAGTTTTTTTTTCGTAAAAACCCAAAGTTGTTTTGTACTAATTTACGAACACATTCTTTATAGTGTTATTTAAAAAAATTAAAATTTTCACTTTGGTCTACTGTTTTTATGTAAGATTACTGTATTGCTGTTGCTGTAACTGTTTTAAAGTATTTTTTGATTTCTGCTTTTAAATTCTTGACAGTTTTCACTCTGTGCTTAACGACACTATGAAATCTTTTGACACATCCTTGTTGTACCCTCTGATTAGACGGTCTTATTAGACTTCTTATATGATATTTGACAGAAGACTTTTGAGAGTATTATTCATTTCAAGGATTTGCCAAATTTTAACATTTACTTCGCTTTTAGCACCACCAGAAAAAGTTTACTGAACAACGAAAACGACCTGCTGTTCGTCAACGATCGCTTAGTCTTCCTGAATACAATTTTGATACACGAGTACTGTGCTGTTTTAAAAATTCTTTCATGAATTTCTAAAAACTTTGAAAAGTGTAATTCAAAAACTGTTTGGTTTCACAGTTCTATTTCTTTATTTTTTTTTTCCTTTTTATGCTTTTATTTTTTACTTTTTCTTTCTCTTCTTCATATTTTTTACATTACTGCTAATCGCTTATAAAAAAACTTGATGTTTCCTCTGTTTAAATTTAGTACATATTGAAATTTTTATAAAATATGGTAAACTAACAAACACTAATTATTCAGTTCAGGTGAAGATTACACGTTAGTGAGTTACTTTTCGTAAGAAATTCAATTCTTTTTCTTATATATTTTCTAAGTCTTATTTGCAGCAATTATATTTACTAGGAAACTTAGTGTGTTATTTTGTGTATTTTTTGTTTATAGCATATATCACTAAAAGATGCAGTCGATTATCCGATTAATAAAAGTGGAGGTCATCGACTTCCTCATCCGCTCGGGTAATATTTTGGTATATGCCTTTTTAACAGATTACCGTCACATAATATATTATACTGCATTATAAAGATTATTTTATGCTCTTCAAATATACCTAACTGTTACACTTATATTTGCAGTACTTTTTAATTTGATTCTTTCTTCTCTATGCAATTAATTGTTTTTGGACATTAGCGGACCAACTGAAGCAACGCAGGATATAATCAAAAATCGAGCTGATGAAAAACGGTGGAGACGGCAGATGAAAATCGAAAGTTTAAGAGCTGGTAAAAGAAGTAACCGTAGGCGGTCTTCGAGTTTGTAAGCAAAATACAATTTTTGCTAAAAATATGCTTTTTCTATCGTTAAAATAATGCTAAACTGTGGCTTCAGTTGTGTCACTTTTTAAATAGATTTATTTCAAACATTTGAAACAGAAGACTTTTTGGTGGAATATATATGGCAGTTAATTTGTTGCTATTTTCCGAAGTTTGTTTAGAGAAGTGGAAAGACCAAGGGATGCTGAATCTGGTATGCATCCTGCAGTCTCACCAACGGCTCAAAATTGGCTTTCTAAACGGGTTGAGGTGAAAAATATAATAAATTTTGAAGACTATAAGCAGATATAACAACAATTATGTTCAGAACAGACAATTTAGGGGTTGACTGATTTTGTTTACGAAGAGCCTTTAACTCGAGATCTCCAAGCTTATTCGAATAAATCAAAAAGCGACATGAACTTGAACGACTTAAAATATGAGGAACTTAAGGTAAGCAGAAAAAAAATTCGTTCTGAACAATTTGATTACTGCGTAACAGCTGTAGATTCGGTGGTTTATAACAGCGCAGTCTACTAGAATATTTTTAGAACACTCGTGTGAAATATTACCTAACACGGCGTACAATTGAAGAACAGCCAGAACTTGTTTTGACTGGCGCAGGATTAATATCAGAGAGAAGTGGAGAGCATGGTCATAAAAAAGTTTGAAAGATTTCATTTGTAACTTTATTTTACATCGGTCTGGGTCAACAGTTTGGTTACTTTTGTCAGTAATTGTTGGTTGAAATAAGTTCTACTTAGAGTGAAAGAAAAATGGAAGAATCTCCAAGCGTGTATTCATTGTATGCACAAGACTACTTGGTGAAAAAAAAGTTTACTGAACAGAGAGAGGAGGTTAAAGCGCTGCCCGACTCGGTAGGATATGTTAAATTAGAACATCTTTGTTAGCAAGGAAAGATGGATTAATTCGTCGCACGTTATTTGTGAAAAAAACT